GCGGGAGCTAGACGGCGCGGTGCTTGTTAGCGTCGTAGAGGATCCACCTTTTATCTCCAATAACTAGGTCCTCCAAAAAGCCTATTATGCCAGGATATGGCCACGGTCAAGCGGAATCTCATGCTGGGAAGAGGGCACAGAATAGAATTGAAAATTGATGCAGTTGAAAGGACGAATCTCATTTAGGCCATTATGTGACAGCTTGCGCATTTTATCATGGCATTACCGCAAAAGGCTAGAGCACAGGCAGATAATTTACAGTGGTGACCAAACAGGGCACGTATGCTTGGGAATCCCTAGCGAGGGGAGTCGAGTTCAAAGGTGGAAATTCAAGAAGATGGTGGGCAGCATGGGGATGTGACCGAGTGGGAACTTCGGAGAAGGTTTCTACCAAAGAATTTCTCCAGCGGTTTCTCCAACGGAAAGAGGGACCCTGTGACCAAAGCGTCAGTAGAAACCTCCTGTGAACCGGGGATAGGGGGTAAGGGTATGGAGGCATGAGCCACACGTCGTGTTTGAGAAGCTAGAATGTGCGACGTGGCAGTATGCATAGAAAATATTGTAGTGCGAGCAAAAAAAAGAGTGACTCGGAATGCCGAGTTCAAGCAATCCCCAATTGCAGTCGCTATCCTCGCAAATGAGAGAGCATGTGAGGGATAGGAGCGCACTCAGGACGGCTTTTTCCACCAATCGCTGCCATTCTTAAAGTCCGCTACAATTGGTGGAAGAGGCTGCCCTGGCTGCACTCCAGTCTACGCTCCTTCACACGCCTTCTCAGTCGCATAATGACAAGATCATATAGGGTCTATTTCACAGCTATGCCTAAAAAACGACTGGCACTTTGAACGCTCATTTCTTTATTAAACGCGTTCCTGCCGCCTCCTTCATTGTAAAGGCAACAGCCTAGCCCTCATCGAACTCTAAGATTCCAACTTTTTTGCCTCAAAATGATAACGAAGGCGCTGGCGCCTCACAAGGCAGGTTATTTGCAGGTATTAGCATGCAGATGACCAGAAGAAACAATAAGCGGGTCAGAGACGCGCTGGCATTAAACGAGCAGGTCCGGAGAACTCGTCCAGGAAGGCTACCAAATCCTTACTGAGAGGTGTTCTCCATAATTTGTTTTCGCTTTTTTCTTCCATGGAGGGTCATTTAGCGACTGTAGATTGTAAATTAACACCACTATCCACAATATATGATACAATCGTGGGTCTGTCTTCAAAAGCAGTTGGCACGATTCATCACCAAGACGTGTAGGATTAGTACTACCAGCCTGGGATTAATACCCCCATACGACAGAGTTCGGCGCCCCTGAGCAGGCGCTGCGAGGCGACTTTTTCAAGGAAGGTACCCTTATGCGCTCTATCAAGCTGCAACATCCCGACCCGAACGCCCACCGCGCCTGCCCGCCCTCAAAAGTGTAACTAGTAAAGAGTCAAAAGTGTAATGCTGATGCTCGGGTCGCTTCATTTGCGAAGTACAACATGAAGCGAAGGGGTTGATATGAAGCGGTTGCAGTGCTGCATGGATATATGAGTACATACATGCAGCTAGATCTACCGTAGCGACGATTGGCACAATGCCAACGGGAAACTCGTCCGAAATCGCTGCTGTATCGTGTAGAACAAACATTTTTTTTGCAGGTTTTAAAGCGCTTCACTTCGCTTTTTCGCCATTTTTCCCCACTCTTTAGGCCCCCACCACCATTTTAGACTAACATTTTAGACCAAATTTTCGTGCTTTATGCCTTGAACGAACTTTCATTTTTATTTTAAAACCCAAATGAGCATTCCAAGCTCATGAGAACATTAACAGAAAAGTCAACGTAATAGCTGTGGATGAAACTTCGTTTTCTTCACAATTTATAGTCCTGAATGGAAGTGTAGAGTATTTAAAATAGATACAGATTTGCAGTGTCATTTCACCTTAATCCTGCGACTTTGTGATAGAGTGTTTTGAAGCCATTTTGGTGATATCAACATACTCGTCTGACTGATCCTTGTGTTCCGTTTTCTCCGATTTCTCTTTACTATCTGATTTTTCTTTGCTATCAACCATCGTTGGAGGAAATTGATTCGTCTGCTTAACCTTAATGATGTTTTCATTTTCAGGTGAATTCTTCAGCGGTTTTTGCTTCCTTTACGTCGCACCAGGGGGCACATCATTGGTTGGGCATTTCGGTCAGGTCTTCGTAAGACCCCCCCCCCCTCAGAAGGTGGCTCGATACAACCCCTCTAGGAGGTGGCTTGATACGACCCTCCTAGTTCCGTCCTCTGATGCGATCGAGCTGTTGAGCCGGAGGGGTGGGAGCAGCAACGAGCAACTAAGACCCTCCCCCTGTCCACATTATAGCGTCCAAGCAACAAGAAAAATCAACTATCAAAAAAATGTTCTCGGACAAAATAGGAACCCCCATTTCCCCAGCGACCCCCACCCCCTCCCCGACCCCCCGTCTTAGGAAATCCCCAGCGATGATGTGCCGTAGTCGCACCTCGACTTCCTTACCTCCTCCAGTTTACATTTCTGTGTCTTCTCTTCTTCTTCCTCATCTTTCTTAGCCTCGATTTGTTCCACATACTGGTTCAAAAAATTATCTACTTCCAAGACAGAATAGGCGCTGCGCCGCTTCGGCCTTCCATCCATCTTTTTTCCTTCGTCGCGAGACTGTCGATCTCGCTGTGAGGATTCGAACTTTCAGTTTATTAACCGCGGTATGCATACATAACTTTATGATGTAAGCAAAAAAATTGCTAATTATACTAGGAGTATATTATACTAGGACAACTAGGAGTAGCTGAAACCCCCTTCCCGCAGCTTCTCCTAGGGAATCGTTCCGTAAATTCTGGAAGCAGATTTGATTTAGCGACCCGCGACGCACACGTCGATAGGCATCACATTTTGAATGGCCATGGCGATCTGTTGACCTTCCCTGGTGAGCAAGAAGGGTTTTTCCATTGCTTCAAGTGTGCGCCCAAATTTCCTGTCCACGTAAAAGACGTCTCTATCGACGTCTATCATGCCGACAGGTAACACGACAACAACAACATTGAAGTGTTGGACCAAAGACCCATAATGAGCTAGCGCACAGTCCCAACAGGGCGATAAGTGCTCCTTGGTTAGACAGCGTTCAGACTTCGCGACGGCAGCGCTTCGGTCGCGCGTTCGACGCGATCGATGCAGTCGAAAGCATGCGCATCGATCGCGTCCAACGCGCGCGACCGAAGCGCTGCCGTCGCGAAGTCTGAACGCTGCCTTAGATGCACCATTTTCGACAGTTTCTCAGTACCTCCAGGAGGTCGAGGAGTGAATGGCTTTTGAGCAGCTGTTATTCTCATTTACTTCTCAAGATAGCGATTTCCCATTAGCTGGTCAAGAATCTAGCCAGAAAATGGAGATTTCATAAGTTACCGCTACTTGTCTGGGATCGACATTGGTGCCGACTGGCTCCCATGACCTGGATTGCTTCGTACGCTTTACCATCTCCGCTGATCCTCTTGATGCTGGACCGGTCTGAATAGGGTTAGTTTGGCAGGAACGTCTGAGATATCACATGTGGTCCTGAGCTTGTAGAATAGGGCGTTTTAAGAGGCTTGGACTACATCCACGGGAACATTTCCCTTCAACTGTTGCGAGCTCAGGATGGTACAGTTAGTGAGAAAGATGGCCTTGGCTGCGCTCCCATCTACGTCACATGCCTTGTCGTTTGCAATGGTCAGGACTGTATCTGCTGGCAGTGTATGACCAACACAGTCAACAGTACTGCGCTCGCAACTACTGGTAAAGAACATAATCGCCGCTTGGCTTCAATTTAGAGCCCATCCTAGCTCTTTGCTGGTATCCCCAACGTACGATGTGCCCTGGCTTCAATCTAGCCCTACGGTACGTCCCGAGGCATCCAGTTTTATGCACTATGATAAGTTTGTCCAGTTCTGTGCAGCAAAAAAGCTCTGCACAAAATACTCTGCAGTTTCACATCCCTTTAACTTTTGGAAACCACTACTCTTGTTAGGCTCAAAGATGACTCGGTCATTTACCCAAATTGTTCCCGTCGACCTCTTCAGGTCGCAGATTACCTATTAGTGAGTAAGGAGCTCCACATGAAGAGGAAGAAAACAATACATTACCGCAATCCGTGCTTGATCGCCTACACCAGTTTTGTACGTTTGCTCCCATGTCCAAGCTTTCTTCTTGACTTTGAACACATCTGCTGAGCCTTTTGATGCTTTATGAGTCTGAATATGGTACTTCTTCCAGTCTTTGACAATCGTCACTCACAGGGGTCAATGAATGGGCTATTCGTCCTTATTTTAGTTTCTATCCTTGACTCTATCCCTCTAATCTCCCAAAAGCCGGCTAAGAAGTTTTCATAGAAACAGTGAATCCATGAATTACCTTAAATCGTCTAGGGACACGTGCACCGATCTCGCCAACTCGCTGCCGTGGACCATATTTCCTCGCGTGTTTTGGGGACTCCGCTGCTTCTTTTGATGACTGAATAGATTTCAGGTTTCGTTTGCTTTTGAGATACCAAAGGATCGTCGGCTGGCGCCGGCGCTACTACAGTCCTCATCATTACGGACTGTCGGGGCGGCACAGCGCGCTGCAACGTGACGCGACAGCGGCTGCGGCTCGGTGACGGCGAATCAGCTGATTTCCATGGGATTCCTTCCACTTTCGAAACTTGAAGAGCTGAAAAAGTGGGAATTTGCAGCCGAATTCCATCGAAATCAGCTGATTCACCGTCACCGAGCCGCAGCCGCTGTCGCGTCACAGTGCAGCGCGGCTGTGCCGCCCCGACAGTCCGTAATGATGAGGACTGTACTTCCAAGGCTTGGCTTTGCATTGCAATACATGATGGTGCGAGGCATTGCTCTCATCTGTACACATGGTCAACGTTTCTCCAATAGCATCATTACTACTACTTGTTTACTACTGATGCCATTTCTGCGGACCTGGTGAAAAGCTTTGATCAAGTGCACAGAGGTGAAATTGTATCAAAGTCCATGTCTTAGAAGAAGAGGCGCCGGCGTAGCCGTCGACTGCCGTTATATGTTTCTGGGACAGTCTATTTTGATGCCTGAAAATATCAATAGTTTTTTATTTGTCACAGGGAAGGTCTGGAACCGAGTTATGAGTTCTTGACTTTTGCTGCCCAAGACGAGGCACGCTGCTCCCTCTGTTGATGTTTCCGCCCAGCCCTTTGCACACTTTCACTCACATTTTCTCAACCTTCCAAACCATTGAGAGGTAGTAGTGCGGTGTTTGACTTTCGCTCCTGGGCGCACGCTCCACCCACAGCATGTATGTCTCACTGTTCTTCTCGACCCAGTAACCCCTTGCTGACTTTATTCCACTTTTTCCCTTGTCTGAGCTAGTCTGGGCCAAAAATATGATTTTTGTTCACAACACCGCTTATTTTCATGCATGCCCCGCCCACGGGGGCAGGAGTTA